AGTTGCCACCTGAAAGACCATTGCTGAAATGGAAAAAAGAGACAATATACATTAGACCAGCTAAGCCTTAATACTATTAGAAAAGATTTCGAAGTGGAATTTCTTATTTGTGGTAGCGACTTATCGCTAGATGTTACAAGTAGTCCATATAGTTCAGTCTCGTTCTTTTAAAATAATGATAAACTTTTGAAAAAGTCTATGATGAAGTGCTTTGAATCTGGCACCTGCTGATCCTCAGCACTTAGACTTTCCTCGAATGGTTCAAAGATTCTCGACTTTGCCACTGGGTTCAAACCTCTTGTTTACGTGAATGTCATCGGAGCCGGCGCTTCCGCGGAGTCCACTTTTACAGAGTTTAAGGAAGGACGCGTCAAAAACATTAAATGTTATGAAATAGTGAGTAGATCCCCTTCTTTTTCCAGTTGCGTGCAATTTTTGTCGTATTATATTTAGGACGGGGATTGCATTTGCATTATTAGAACACATTATGCTCATAGAACAAGAAGGGAAATGATAGTAGAGGAAGTAAAAGTGGTGAATCCTACGGTACGTTTCGGGACTCTTACTTTACTTTGAAGTTGTTTTATTGCGTGCCCGAAAATTGGTCTAAATTACAGAAATCATCGGTCACTCTGCAAGTTGCTCGACACGAAGCTGTAGGTTGGACTGCAAACAAAACGTAAGCTTTTTGTGAATAGTATATATTTGACCTAGTTAATAGTATGTTCAAATTTTGTGCTTATGAAGGGAGAGAATTACAATCAATTAACTTGAGGGACACCCTTTTTGCGCAATTTCACATTTAACATTTTTTCTTGACCTTGTAAGATGCCGTAATATGAAATGCCATCTCCAGTCATTGTACCATTTCCTCAAGGAGTTATTACCACATCACCAGCGCACTTCTTATCATAATTGATCAATCTGATTACTTTTTTTGCAGTGGTGATACAGTTGTGTACACTAAATCTTTTCCCTCTCACATATCTTCCCTACTGTCAGCTGTGATTTGTTCAAATGCCCCTGGAGAGCTGACAATCGCTAGAAAAAGGTGTTCATTCCTCTGTTTATTGTATCTGATCACATAACGTTCTGCTACTTTTTTAGAGAAGAAACGTTACGCTTTGTCTGCGTAGTCGAACAACGGGAACTCTCTAGTAACATGGCGATGGATACCACTCCTGTATTACATGAACTTGCAAGAGTAGTACTTTCGAAGTTTAGTCTTCTGAACAAGATGGTATCTTTATCTGTCGATATTGAGCATGAGAATGCTTGGAGAAAGGTTGGCTTCGATTTAGAAGTTTGGGCATAAGCTTGTCAAAGTGTTGTTCAGCTTAATGTTCCCACATTCTACCTGTCTCCATCGAAGGCGCCAAATGTTCTAAATGGTGCTCATATTAACGCTACGAAGTATATTCTTCTCAGCAATACGAAAGCGCCTCTATTGGAGGAGTCCATCCCTGAGGATAAAAGAAAGGTACGATTGTTTGTCACTATATTCAATGTTTTTTTTATATTAGTTTCTAAGGCCATGGAATTGTCATCAAGACGAAACGAGCGATGTTACAGCGAGCATTCGACTCTGCTA